ATATATATATATATATATATATATATATATATATATATATATATATATATTACTTGGCTGTACACCTGAAACTAACACAACATTGTAAATCAATTATACTCCAATATAAAATAAAAATTTAAAAAAGCAGATGTGGTATATATGTACAATGCAATACTATTCAGCCACGAAAAAATGAAATTTTGCCATTTGTAGCAACATAGATGGACTTGGAGGGCATTATGCTAAGCGAAGTAAGTCAGAGAAAGTCAAATACTGTATGATATCACTTATATGTAGAATCTAAAAAATAAAACAAATTAGTAAATATAACAAAAAAGAAGCAAACTCAGAGATATATCGAACAAACTACTTGTTACCAGTGAGGAGAGGGGAGGGGCAATATAGGAGTTGGGGAGTGGAAAGTACAAACAATTCGTTGTAAGATAGCTGAAAGACATATTGTACAACATACATATTGGGGAAAATAACCAATATTTTATAGTAACTGTAAATGAAAAGTAACCTTTAAAGTTGTATAAAAATTAAAAAGAAATTTTAAATAAAATTTTAAAAAGATTCAGAATTCTCAGAATATTTGAAAAAGTGGATGTGCTTTTCTCTAATTTTTACCTTAATCAATGCGCTTTTTAAAATGTGAGAAAGTATAGGGACTTCCCTGGTGGTCCAGTGGGTAAGACTCCACACTCCCAATGCAGGGGGCCCGGGTTTGATCCCTGGTGGGGGAACTAGATCCCACATGCATGCCACAACTAAGAAGCCCACATGCCGCAACTAAAAAAAAAAAAAAAAAAAAAAAATCCTGCATGCTGCAACTAAACATGCCGCAGCGAAGATCCTGCGTGCCTCAACTAAGCTCCAGTGCAGCCAAAATAAATAAATAAAAATATATTAAAGATGTGAGAAAGTATAAACACGTAAGGGAAGATGGGGAGAACAAACTGCGGCGCCACAATTTATAACACACACACATAGACAAACATACAATGAATGAAAAATCTTATCTGTTAATTCAGGTATAATGTGCTTTATTACTTAACATAGATCACAACTTCCTTTGTTAATCATTAAATATGCATTCATGGCATCATTTTCAAAGTCTTTTGTCATTCTCAACCCAAAATGTTAACCCACCCTTCATTGCTGCCTTTCGTTTATTTTCAAACAGATCTGTGATGTAAACAACTTTGTGCTCTGCATCTTTTGGGGTATGGAGTCTCAGCTCACCTGAGGACAGGTGGTCCTGCCCTGTCCCTGGGTAGTCCTGTCTGTCAAGTGGGCCCTGAGAGGAGAGGGGGCTAAAGGACCTGAGGACTAAGGGTACCTTTGGGAAGATTTCTAAGGGTGACCTCTCACACATCCCTAAACCCACCACATGATTTCCACCAACCAAGCAGCATCTACCATAGGCAACAACAAGACAACACCTATTTCAGGAGGAACTCGGCCCCTAGGAATCAGGCCCAGGGAACCTGCACTTCTGGAAATTCTCTGAAGCCTTCACACTACTCAGTGGTCTCAGGTGTGCTATGCCTGATCTCTTATCTCAGTGCTACTGAACATGGGTCTGAGGGAGTAACATCTGCATGAACAAGAAAACTCGTAAAAGATGTCGTTTTTTGAGCCCTACAGGAGTTTCATAACTTAGAGTGGGGCCTGGTTCCCCGCAAATTTGTACGCACTTTAAAGCTTCAGAAGAAACATTTGCTATGTGGTTCCCATGCAATTTCCCATTAGTATTAGTGATGAGTATTTAGAAATAACATCACCTGTGCCCTCCCCACAGAGTCTGTCTATTGATCTGGGTGGGAGCATCCGAGTGTTTTAACTCCAGGTGATTCTAAGGTTAGGCCCGGTTTAAGCCCAAGCCCAAGGGCTACTGGTACCTGGTGATAGTTGTTTGCAGTCTTCAGTCCTTTTGCCTTTGGGGAGACATTGGTGTCTCCTCTACATGAGATTGGAAAGGGCAGGTCAGTGTAGCCAACTTACTCTGTGCTGTAGCAGAAGTTTTGGGGCATCTGTGTGAGGGGAGAGCATGTGTCGGCAGGAAAGAAAAAGCTCACAGTTTGGTCTCCATGCAGGAGCTCATTGTTCCTGAATCTCTTTTTCAGGTTGCTGTTTCAGCATTTCAAGGTCCTGTAGCCTGTTGGTGTTGTGGGAAGAGGTGAAGGAGCTGTGCTGACGGCACTGAGGCATATTTTCAAGATCCCAATGTGATTCCTCAACATCATATCGATGAGAAAACGACCCAGAGCAGGAGGAAGGAGAGGAGGAAATGGCAGCTTCTCAGGTAACTGTCCTGTCCTGGGTCAGAGGCTCTGTCTGCTTTTCCTTCTGAAATGTCATGGATTAAGAACCTACAAATCTTTAACTCTCTACTTCTTATGTGCCTAGCAAGGTCATTTTCAACTACTTACTTTTTTCCTTCTTGTGATAGTCAGAGTCAGCACTTTAGAATACTTCTACCCTGCGTTCCAGAGCCCTTTCCCCATTGTCTGCATCCAGGCTCCCTACAGAGCGTGGAGAATGACATCCAACTATTGAAATGATTCCCTTTGTGGAAGATCTACATGGGAAGGCATTAATATCCAAAATTCCCTAAGAGATAATTTTGGATGATGAGCTATTAGTGAAGAAGGGGGGCTTCCCTGGTGGCGCAGTGGTTGAGAGTCCGCCTGCTGATGCAGGGGACACGGCTTCGTGCCCCGTTCCGGGAGGATCCCACATGCCGCGGAGCGGCTGGGCCCGTGAGCCGTGGCTGCTGAGCCTGCGCGTCCAGAGCCTGTGCTCCGCAACAGGGGAGGCCACAACAGTGAGAGGCCCGCGTACCGCAAAAAAAAAAAAAGGGGGAAAGTGAAATGATTAATGTACATCTGAATGCAACAGTTTATCACACCAGGATTAAGTAAATGCACTTTTGGTCTTCCCTGGTGGCGTAGTGGTTGAGAGTCCGCCTGCCGATGCAGGGGACACGGGTTTGTGCCCCGGTCCAGGAAAATCCCACAAACCGCAGAGCGGCTGGGCCCCGTGAGCCATGGCCGCTGAGCCTGCGCGTCCGGAGCCTGTGCTCCGCAACGGGAGAGGCCACAGCAGTGAGGGGCCTGCGTACTGCAAAAAAAAAAAAAAGAGAGAAAATGCACTTTTCTTTTTTTTTAATTTTTAAAAATAAATTTATTTATTTATTTTTGGCTGCGTTGGGTCTTCGTTGCTGCCTGCGGGCTTTCTCTAGTTGCGGTGAGCGGGGGCTACTCTTCGTTGCGGTGTGTGGGCTTCTTGTTGCAGTGGCTTCTCTTGTTGCAGAGCACGGGCTCTAGGCGCACAGGCTTCAGTAGTTGTGGCACATGGGCTTAGTTGTTCTGTGCATGTGGGATCTTCCCAGGCCGGGGCTCAAACCCGTGTCCCCTGCATTGGCAGGTGGATTCTTAACCACTGCACCACCAGGGAAGTCCCAGAAAATGCACTTTTAAATGGGATAGCATTAGTGATCTAGATAACACAAAGTTCTGAAAAAAAAAAGTAGGAGAGACTTGCTCTCTATATTTATGAGAAAGACTTACTATTTAAATACACAATTAGAGTTAGGGAACATGAGAAGTATATGTGGACTGAAATTTGCATAAACTTACATTTTTTTCATGATCGTTTCAGATTATGATTTTCTTATGTATTTTCACCGAGAATACAACAGCAGTGATAATGTCTTGCGTGCTTCAGTCACCTGATAATCATTTGTCCCAATACACCTGATGTTCACTGGTTTAGGTGCTTTCTGCAGATTCCTCCATGATGTTCAAATAGTTCTTTTATCTTTAATAAGGGTTTTGTGTGATTCAAGAAGTGTGTATAAACCATCACAGTAAATCTGGAAATTCCTGTGTCTTCTTAGTTTTCCTTTGTTTGTACTTTGTTTTTCAAAAATGAACATTTTCACCTTTCTTTATTAAAGACATTGGCTTTACAAGTGGAAGTTGTAAAGTGGAATCAGTCAAGCCTTGTTCTTCTAAGTTTCCATTATACTCCACACTCATGTAACAGACATAGTCTTCTTTATCACTTTGTATTTTCAAAAAAGTTTACAAGAATCATATTGTTAATGTATGCTCAATTGTGTTAAATTTCTGAAATATAGCTCAACTCAAATGATAAATATTTGCTAAGAAATCAGGGATTCAGAACCAATAGCTCTACCTTACTTTATATCATTGTGTGTGTCTCCCCTAGTGTATTTATAAAATACAAATTTTTGCTGGGAGGTTTTTGAGAACTGATTCAATCTCCTTAATAGTAATTTGGCCTGTTGAGATTGTTTTATTTCTTCATGATTCAGTCTTTTTATTTTTAAATTTTTTCTTTATTTAGCCCATTGATTCTTTAGGATCGTGTTGTTTAATTTCCACATATCTGTAAATTTTCCAGATTCTTCCTGTTGTTCATTTCTGGTTTCTTACCATTGTAGTTGAAAAAATACTTAGTATAATATCAGTCTTCTTAAGTTTGCTAAGACTTGTTTAGTGACCCATCACATGATCTGTCCTAGAGAATATTCAGTGTGCACTGGAGGAGAATATGTATTCTGCCCCTGTTTGATGGACTGCTCTGTTTTTGTCTCTTAAATCCATTTGGTCTAATGTATAATTCAAGTTCAGTATTTCCTCATTGATTTTCTTTCTGGATTCATTGTTGAAAGTTGGGTATGAAAGATCCCTACAATTTTTTTTTGTATTGTCTATTTCTATCTTCAGATCTGTTAGTATTTGCTTAACATATTAAAGTCCCCCACTGTTAAGGCGTATTTATTTATGATTGTATTCTTGATGAATTGACAATGTTATCATTATATAATGACCTTATTTTTGTTGTTGTTGCAGCTTTTGGCTGATTTTTTTTTTTCTGTCTTGTGTAACTGTAGCTACCTCTGCTTTCGGTTGGTTTCCACTTTTATGGAATATCTTGTTCCAATGCTTCACTTTGAGCCTATTTGTGTTTTTAACATTGAAGTGAGTCTCTGATAGGCTGCTTATAGTTTCATCATGAATTTTTATCTGTCTAGCCACGCTATGACTTTTGACTAACGAATTTAATATATTTATGTTTATAGTGATTATTGGCAGGTAAGGACTAACCAATGCCATCTTATTGTTTTCTGGATGTTTTGTTGTTTCTTGTTCCTTTCTTCCTCTTCTGCTTTTTTTTATGAATTAGTGATACTGTGTAGTGGTATATTATGATTTCCTTCTCTTTATTTTGTGAATCTACTCTAGGCTTTTGCTTTGTGGTTCCATGAGGCTCACAGAAAACATCTTATAGATATAACACTCTATTTTATGTTGATAACAATTTAACTTCCATCACATACAAAAAAATCTACTCTTTTACTCCCCTCCATAAAATTTTGTGGAGTTTAGCTCTTTGTATATTGTTTATACATTAAAGTGATTATAGCTGCAGTTATTTTAATCATCACATACTTTAACCTTGTTAACTGGTTAACACACCACCATATCACATTATTAAAGTATTCCTACCTTAACTATATACCTATGTTTACAAGTCTATTGTGTATTCGCATATGTTTTCATGGTACTATTTAGTTTTAGCTTGAGAAACTCTTTTAGAATTTCTTTTAAGACAGAACTAGTGATGATGCACTCTCTCGGCTTTTTTTTTTTTTGAAAGAGTTTTTAATCTCTCCATTTAAGAGGGACAATTATGATGGAGACAATTATCCTGGTTGACTTTTTTTTTTATTTGAACAATTTGAATCTATTATCCCACTCTCTCCTGACCTGTGAGGTTTCTGTTGAGAAATCAGTGGATAACCTTATGAGGGTTCTCTTATAAGTTACAAGTTCCTCTCCTACTGTTGTTTTTAAGATTTTGTTTTTGATAGTTGACAGTTTTACTCTAATGTGTTTTGGAGAAGATTTTTTTTTGAGTTGAGTTTGTCTGGTGCCTATGAGCTTCATGAACTTGGATATCCAAATCTCTCCCCTGACTTGGAAAGTTCTTAGCCACTATTTCTTTTTTTTTTTTTAACATCTTTATTGGGATATAATTGCTTTACAATGGTGAGTTACTTTCTGCTTTATAACAAAGTGAATCAGTTATACATATACATATGTTCCCACATCTCCTCCCTCTTCCATCTCCCTCCCTCCCATCCTCCCTATCCCACCCCTCCAGGCGGTCACAAAGCACTGAGCTGATCTCCCTGTGCTATGCGGCTACTTCCCACTAGCTATCTACCTTACGTTTGGTAGTGTATATATGTCCATGACTCTCTCTCCCTTTGTCACAGCTCACCCTTCCCCCTCCCCATATCCTCAAGTCCATTCTCTAGTAGGTCTGTATCTTTATTCCTGTCTTACCCCTAGATTCTTCATGACATTTTTTTTCCTTAAATTCCATATATATGTGTTAGCATACAGTATTTGTCTTTCTTTTTCTGACTTACTTCACTCTGTATGACAAACTCTGGGTTCATCCACCTCATTACAAATAGCTCAATTTCGTTTCTTTTTATGGCTGAGTAATATTCCATTGTATGTATGTGCCACGTCTTCTTTATCCATTCATCCGATGATGGGCACTTAGGTTGTTTCCATCTCCGGGCTATTGTAAACAAAGCTGCAATGAACATTTTGGTACATGACTCTTTTTGAATTATGGTTTTCTCAGGGTATATGCCCAGTAGTGGGATTGCTGGGTCATATGGTAGTTCTATTTGTAGTTTTTTAAGGAACCTCCATACTGTTCTCCATAGTGGCTGTACCAATTCACATTCCCACCAGCAGTGCAGGAGTGTTCCCTTTTCTCTACACCCTCTCCAGCATTTATTGTTTCTACATTTTTTGATGATGGCCATCCTGACTGGTGTGAGATGATATCTCATTATAGTTTCGATTTGCATTTCTCTAATGATTAATGATGTTGAGCATTCTTTCATGTGTTTGTTGGCAGTCTGTATATCTTTGGAGAAATGTCTATTTAGGTTTTCTGCCCATTTTGGGATTGGGTTGTTTGTTTTTTTGTTATTGAGCTGCATGAGCTGCTTGTAAATTTTGGAGATTAATCCTTTGTCAGTTGCTTCATTTGCAAACATTTTCTCCCATGCTGAGGGTTGTCTTTTGGTCTTGTTTATGGTTTCCTTTGCTGTGCAAAAGCTTTGAAGTTTCATTAGGTCCCATTTGTTTATGTTTGTTGTTATTTCCATTTCTCTAGGAGGTGGGTCAAAAAGGATCTTGCTGTGATTTATGTCATAGAGTGTTCTGCCTATGTTTTACTGTAAGA